TGAGTATGGCATCATAGAGCTGATAGTAAATCTCATGATCTCCTACAAAGCAGTTGCAAGTCAAGAGACAGAAATGGTAGTAATTTATAAGGTCTGATGCTGTACCAAAATACTATCTAGAATTGTGAGAGTATTATGGGTTGAATTGTGTCCTCCCTCCTCACACATAAAAGGTTATGCTGAATTCCTAACCCCCAGTATGTCAAAATGTGGCCTTATTGGGAAGTAAGGTCATTGCAGATGTAATTAGTTAAAATGAGGAGACACTGGAATAGGGAGGACTCCTAATCCAGTAGGACTGGTGTCCTTATAAGAAGAAAGCTGTATGAAGACAGAGGCACACAGGAAGAATGTCATGTGATGATAAAAGCAGAGATTGGAGATGTGCAGCTGAAAGCCAAGGAATGCCAAAGATTGCTGGCAAACCAGCAGAAGCTAGTATGTGGCAAGAAAAGTTTCCCTTGCAGGTTTCAGAGAGAGTGTGGCTTTGCTCACACCTTGATCTTGGACTTCTAGCCTCCAGAACTGGAAGACAATACAAGTCTGTGTTTTAAGGCACCTGGCTTATGGTGCTTTGTTATGGAAGCCCCAGGAAACTAATATAAAGAGTAAAATACATTGTGGGGTATATCACGTCATTGTTTTTAGTGACTTGAATGTCTATATTACGTTTTCATGGAAGTGACAGCTGCATATGGGTGGCCACAAACTTGTACTTTCAGAATTTCCTGTATTTTGGGAAACTATGACCCAAATACCAGGTTAGTATTCTAACAATGTCCCTTGACATTTATTTCCAGATATTTCTTGTCAACTCTGTCTTCTATTTGTTTTTAAAAGGTGCAGCTACTGTTAAGAACTACGTACCAAGTTATTTCCTATGAATCATTTAATGCCATTGGAGACTAGGCCTAAGGAGATGGCATATCAAATTCATTTTAGGTTTAAACAGCTTGGCAATAGTTTTTGAAAGGAATGATTGGGTGGAGTTTTCTGCGATAATGAGAATCCATCATATATTATGAAAAATGACATATTTATTACTTTTCATATTCATTAGTTATTATGTAAAATCTTTTGACATGAAAAATTTGGTCATTAATACTTCCCTTTCTTGAATTTTGAGATATATTAATTAATTTTGATTTCCTTGGGCTATGCACGTTAAATAATTATTTTGGGGAAATTTTTTTTTGTATGATATTCTTATAGCCAATCCCAGTATCCATTGAACATTCCCCTTACATTTTATTTTTCTAGAAATATATGGACATGAACCTTAATTTCACAAATTTCCTATTGGAGAGTGTTATTAAAGACTCATCAATAATCAACAATGAGTTAGTAAATAATAAATGTCATTTATCCCTTTAACATCTTTTAATATCTATTTCAAACTGTTTCATATAAAAGATTTCTGTTTCCTCCATGACTCTCTCTTCCTGTCCATTGCTAGTTTTAGAAGAAAAATAACTGTATTTCAAGGTTTTCTCAGACTAAACTGGAAATTTTGTATATCCTTGTTCTTCTGAAAACATGTTCTTGCCTACAATTATCTCTAGCTTGATACTTGATGCCTTTACAGAGATGATAAATATTGAGCTAGTTTCTTCAATTCCTCTATCTTTGTAGATAGAGAATTTTAAAGAATTTGGAAATACGTAAGTTGTAGAAACTATGACATCACGTACTATAAGACCATTGATCTCTCTTCTGTACGTAAATAAGAAAAATGCACTGAATAATGGTTCCTTTCCGTGTGTGTGTGTGTGTGAGTGTGTGTGTGTGTGTGAATAACTGATGTGTATAGCTCTCACTCACACAAAAGTACTGAATGAAATACCTCTTTTTTTAAGAAAGGAAAGTACCAATGATTTTGATACATTTTGAAGGTCAGTAATGTTCAGCATAGAGCAGTATGCGGAGAACAATAGCTCCTTAGAGAGTGGAAAACATGGTACTCTCATTATCCATAATCTCAGCTGGTCACCATAGTAACAGCATTTTATTTTCCAAGATGTAAGCCTTTATAGTTCTGTAGAATTCACTTCCTAGACCTCCAGACACATCAGCGGCATCTAGTGGCTGAGACCTCAGCTGAAATGCTTGCGCTTGCTATGTCACACTGAAAACCTGATGGCATGTGGCTGACCATGCTTTTACTTTTCATTCATCATGATGGGTGACTAGAATTTTTCAGAGAAACATTTATGGGTTGCCTACAAAGAAGGTTGAAAATGTAAGCAAAAGGAAATTATTTTTACTGATACTCCTATTGTAAAGAATTTTGTGGGGGAATTGGGGAATGTAGAGGCATTGTACATTCTCCATCCAAATATTGAAGGAAGTTGGAAAGGTACAGTGTCCTGAGATCATGAAATGACTGCTCAGAGAATGTATAGGACTACTCTCTGAGACCTTTAGATATGTTAAAGATTCAAAGAGTTTATTAATGAATTCTGAGAGTAATTAAATCATGTTTACCCACTTTAGTTTTCTGATCATGTATTTGTCCTTTGTGATTTTTAGAAACTTACATAATAGTGGTTATTTTACATTTCAGATATATAATTATATTTCTGAAATATATTTCAGAGTCAGACCTAATTTGGATAGTGAATGGGGCAATTCAGAAATTTTATTTAGTGTCCAGGGAGGTAGTGTAGATTGAGACCCAGCTGTAGTCCTGCTTCTACCACATCCTAGAAAATAAGTATTCTTGAGCAAAAGCTACAACTGTGGTTCTCAACTTTGGCTGCATATTAGGAGAAAATGTCAGTACCCAGACTCCATCCTGGACCAATTAAAACAGAATCTCCAGGAGAAGAGCTTGAGCATGACTTGGAAAAAAAAGTCTGAATAACTACAGCTCAGCCTATACCATCCCTGGTTTAACTTGGACCTAATCCTAGTTTTGAGGCACTGACCATCAGCATCACTTGGGAACTTGCTAGGAATTCATACACATTTAAGTTTGAGAAGTAATGGAAACCCATAGAGAGTCTAATACAGAAAGTCTGAGTTGAGTCTGGGAATTTTTTTTTTTTTTTAAAGTTGAATGTTTCTATGTCTGTTTAGCTCCCTGCTGTAACTGAGCCCATTACCTAAAAGTTACCAGGAGGGTTAAATAAAGACACTTAGGTAGACTGCAATGCACTGTATAAATGTTACTCATTTATTCATTAAGTTAACCAATATTCACTGAGTACCTATTATGTTCCAAGTGTGGTAACAGGGATACGCAAAAGAGCTGACATGGATGATGTGCAGGGTTGAAATCAGTCTTGGAAGTAGATTCTTCTCAGTTCATAAATACTTTTCTAAAATTATTTATTTGTTTATCTTAGGCATAACACAGAAATTTTAACATAAAATAACCTGAAGAAATTTTTTTAAAAATTCATAAAATGAGAGTTAAATGTTTATTGTGTACCCAAATCTGTATTTATCTTAGTGAAATTATTTTTTAAAGGGATATAAAACATTTCCTGCCTTTAAGAAATGTACATTTTAGATGGATTGTTAAAGCATATTAATAAAATAATGAAAAGGATAATACTGAGATAAAATTATATGGAACTAATTGTACATTTTTTAGTGATGATATAAATTTTTGAGAAAAGTGATCAGGTTTTTTTGATATGGAGAATTGTGTTCAGGAGATTTATTGAGAAGCTCTCTTGGGAACAACATCTGTGAGGGAATGAGAAAAGCAGGACTGAGCAGAGGGAGTTATCATAATGAGATTCATTTGTACCAGATAACTCATCTCACTCCACAAGGAACTCTGATGTTAAGACAGTCCTTCAATGATGTCCCCAACTGAGGCCGGGACAAGCCTTAGTTCCCCTGCATCAGCCAGTACTGGATGGTGAGCTGCCTCTAGGAAGAGGGTGTAAACGTGGGTAAAGCAACCCCCTTTGGCTAAGGACAACTCTCAAGGGAGGTCTCAACTTTGCGACTCCAGCAGCCAATACTCAAGGCAGCGATCAGAGTGAATTATTCATTTTGAAGGGTGGATTCTGAATAGTGAATCACATTTATTCCAAAAGCACAGACCAGTTTAAAAATACTAAATGTTTCCCTTAATCTAACTTTCAGATCATCTCTTACACAGACCCATTCCACGTTTCAAGACTTATCTTTTGGTGCTCTCTGAATAAAATCTTTTGCCCTAGCAAAATTGGCAAGCTAAAATCTTCCTGGAGCATGTCTCACACCCTCTCCTGCTATGCTTTTGTTCTCTTCTGACCACTTGCCTGAAATTTCCTGGACTGCTTTTCTTCACCTTTTTTGGCCAACTCATTAGTTTAACAATTGATTTAAGTACCATTTTGCTTATGAAGACACCTAAGATAGGCTTCTCAAACTTGAACGCACTTAAAAATCACAAGCTCTGGGCATCTGCTAAATGCAGATTCTGATTCAGTAGGTCTGGAGTAGAGTCTGGGTCTGCATTTCTGACAAAGTAACCATGCTGGTAGTCACTGAAGAAATCTACCTTGTCTGTACTTTAGTAGTACTTTTATCTATAGCATCTTTTATTGCATATAACTTATCCTTTTGTAGAGTGTTTTTATTTTGCATTAGTATAAGTTAATTTATGTCATAGCAATTACATCTGATACATATGTATTTCTCACAGCACTTAGCATAGTGCTAGTGTTTATTAAGGACTCTATATATCTGTTGATTGATTTTGAAAGAAAGGACTAACAGGTAGTTGATGATTTTTCAAGCTGAGCATGTGAGTGTTCAGGGTTTTGTAATGTTACGCCTGCTGAAGGAGGACTACTGGCAATGACTTTTTCTGAGGACCTGTAAAGCTATCCTAATTCTGCTCCTCCCCACCCCAAGCTGACCATCACATCAGATCAGGAAAAAAGTTGCCATGTCTTTACAAATGCTCAAGGGCACAGAAAATTTAAAAAAAGTGCAACTAAAGACTCAGATGTTCTTAATTTCCCATATTGTAAACCCAGCTTCTCTATTTCCTCTAGCTTCCAAAGAACAGTGAAACAATACATCCAGCGATACCTGTCAATGGCCCATTCCTGTTTTTGGTGAGAAGCAAACACATTTTGTCTACAGAGCATCAACCAAAGAGTAGTTTCAAGCCTGTTTCTAGGTAATGTTTGGCATTAACATTTGATTGATAGTTCTAACTAAATGGCTATTCCAATTTTTTTATCCTGATTAATTCTGTTTCTCCATTTAAATTCCTATTCACCATCTATATACTCTCATTATTTTATTGCTTTACTCTTGGTAAAATGAACATTAGGAACTATAACTCTTTCCTTGACTGATTTTAAATAAATTAATTAGAATGGGTACTTGCATAATCTAGAAATCATATGTGTTGGGGATAAGCATGTTGAAACTTCTCATTAGATGATCATAAGTCATAAGTTTGCTGCTGAACCCGTGTCCATTAATGATGTAATGCTTCACAACTGACTGACTTGGGCCATTGTCCAGGTGGATGTTTTGCTTTTGTGATCATTATAATTTTATATGTATTGGTATAAAGTTATTGGTATTCAAACTATGAAAGAATTCTAAAGATGTTTCTCAGTATGCTTCGAATTCTTTGGGAAGCCAGGAGAGTTAAAACTAAATATTTGATGAGGTACAATAATTCGAAAGAACTCTAATAAGCCCTTTTAGTCAAAGACTACAGAATTGTGATGAGTATTTCTTATTCCTGGTTGACAGCATATGTATACTCATAAATTGGTTATTTTGTTGGAAACTTGAGCAGCAAGCATAGCTGTGCATATTGATGCTATTATACAAATCAAATATGTTTAAAGAGACTGGGTTAACAGAGTCTCAATATTAAAAGGCTATGGTTGACTTTTTCTCTTGGTCTTAATTTCTGTGTCTCTTTATAATTGATTAATGTTCATTGGTAGACTAAGTATGAATAATTTATGATTCACATAGCTGCTGGCTTATTAATTGTTTAATTTCAGAGAAAGTAACTATATATTAAGGAAATTCAAGTTGTCACTCTGAGTAGCCAAGTGAATTTATACACTTTGTTACTGTATAGTACAGAAATAGTGTATCAGATAATCACTTTGTATTTTCTACAGTGCTTAAAAAGAAGAATACTAATGAAATGTTGAAGAGATTTTTAAAAGTAAAAAGGAGCAAATGAGTTGGCATGTCTGAGGACTGCATGCTCTGAGTTTTTTTTTTTCTCCTCTCTATACATTTTCTTCCGCTTCAGTGCTTCCATGTAATATGCCAACCATAAAATGAAGTTAATTGATGAATGATGCTTATTCTTTAGAAGAAAACATAATTGAATATAGAAAAGAAAGTTGTAATTAACTTAGATATATTACAATTTCTTTGGAGTTTGAGTAAATGATTTTAATTCTGAGAAATTAAAAGACATGATAAATTTGCTTTCTTTAGTAACGTGCATGGAAAAACATTGCTGTCTTAAAAAACACATAGTATTCTCATAATGGTAATAATTTCATTTGTCTTTACATGTATTGCTGAAAACCAAAGGCTAGTATAAATTTCATTAAAATGAATGTTGAAAAAAATAAAATGAATGTTGATAGTCTTTTCTTGTTTGGTACAATATTTTCAAATAAACCTAAAAGATGAAAATTTTAATCCGTATCAAAGTGATCCTCAATGAAGTTCAAGAACATAAATTTGAAACTTTTACTTTCCTGAAACATAACTTTTAATATTCAAGGACAGAATTTTGAGAAATGGTCAATAAGATTGATTTTGTCTATCTTTAAAATATTTTGACTGTGTGACAAAAGTCAGTTTCATATTAGGAAGTGCGGGTAATGCTTTTCCTAAGGTGAAGTCTATTTGGGTATGGGAGAAGAAGAAATAGAATAATTTTAATGACTTCTCTTACTCCTCATCTCTTTCATGCATTTAGCACAAATCATTCCAGTGCTCTGGATGAGTTAATATAGAGACCACAGTGCTAAGCTGTGGAAGGGAGCCTGAGCTTAATGTTGGCACTATAGTAAACATTTCCCCTTTCATGTATCCCTTTAGAGAATTGGGAAGAAAAAGGAACACAGAATGCTATGTGATCTTATAAAATGAAAGAGAAAAGAACAAAATAATATGTATACAGTGAGAAAGGAGGAATGAATGGCATTTTAGTTATCTTGGTTTTGTTTGAACAGGTCTCACTTTTCCTGGTAGACTGAGCTCCTTAAGGGCATGATGGCCCATGTTTAATTTAGCTTTGTATAATATATTTTTTTCATGAATAAAATATGGCTGTGGGCTGACATCTGCTTAGATCTCTACAATGTCATATCTAAATAATTTCTACTTCACCTAATGTTAGACTCACTTCCTCTTACTTTGCTCTCTTATATTACTGAATATCCTCAACTTCATGCAGGCCCATCTCCTATACACATCAATTTAAAAATTAAGGCATTCTTTTTACTCTTTTGCTCAAGGCTAAACTTTGCATTGGTGCAATTGATTGTTTTCTCCAGAGCATTGCTCTATCATTTATTTTCTCTCTTACTTTAAGGACTTTTCCTTCTCTTGTGGCTACTTTTGAGCTTAATAATAAGCTCGTGGTGCAGCCATAATGAAACAATCAAGTGAAAAAATTAATATATCTGACTACTTTGAGCAGGTGTCTTAGCTTCATCTATTACTACATCTCTCCTCTTCCTGGATCATCTAAATTTCTTTTTAAGGATTTTATTCATTAATTTGAAAGAGAGAGAAAGTGAGCACGAGTGGGGGTAGGGATAGGGAGTGGGACGGAGGAAGAGGGGCAGAGGGAAAGGGAGAAGCAGACTCCCAACTGAGCATGGAGCAGACTCCCCACTGAGCACAGAGGGAGAGGGGCAGAGGGAGAGGAAGAAGCAGACTCCCCACCAAGCACGGCTCCACTCCAGGACCCCAGGACCCCAGGACACCAGGATCACGACCTGAGCCAAAGGCAGATGCTTAAGTGACTGAGCCACCCAGGTGCTCCTGGATCATCTAACTTTTTAAAGAAAGTTATTATTCTGTTTCCATTTCCTTTCTTTACATTTGTTTCTCAAGGTATTGCAAACTGATTTCACTCTTGTTGATACTCTGATAAAGATAATCCTTGACTTCTAGATTCTCAGATCCAATGGTTAATCTTTTTTAGCCCTGTCTTCCTGGATCTCTTTGCTAAATGTGGCATTTTGATTCTCTTATTTTTAGAATTTCTTTTTAAATTATAAATGAGGTGTGAACAAATTTTTCTTCTTCTTCTTCTTTTTTTTTTTTTTTAGCCATGTGTGTATTTTGTTAGTTGCTCTAGATTTCTTCTTTGTGATTTGTCTGTACATATGTTTTGTTCATTTTCTTATTGATTTGCAGTATATGTAGAACATACTCAGATTCTGATTTGTTGTCATTGATATGAATTGCAAATACCTTCTTCCAGTTAAATATGGGGTTTTTCCTTAAAGAACTGCCCATAGATTTTAACTTCTCTATTTTTTCTCTTTTCATTTCATCAGTGTTTATGTCTTATGTTTTTATTTCTTTCACTTTCTTTGCTTATCTTTTTTTAATTTGGGGTGAAATTGTATATAACATTATAATAGTTAAAGGTGAAAAACATAATAATTTTATATTTGTATACACTGCAAAACAAATGCCACAGTAAGTCTCGTTACCATCTGTCACCATATAATTGACCCACTTCACACATTTTGTCCACCCTAACTCCCTTCCCCTCTAATAGTCACTAATCTGTTCTCTGTATCTATGTGTTTTGCTTTGTTTGTTTGTGGATATTTTTTAGATTCCAAATATAAGCAAAATCATACAGTATTTGTCTTTCTCTGTCTGACTTAGCATAGTGCCCTCAAGGTCATTCATGCCACAAATAGCAAGATTTTCTTTTTTATGATTGAGTAGCATTTGAGGAGCCTCCATACTATTTTCCATAGTGACTGCATCAATTAACATTCCCATTAACTGTGAGTGAATATTCCCTTTTCTCCATATCCTCTCCAGACTTGCTAATTTTTGTCTTTTTGATAATGACTAACCTAACAGGTGTGAGATGATGTATCATTGTGGTTTTGATTTGCATTTCCCTAATAATTAGTGATGTTGAGCCTTCTTTCATGTACCTTTTGGCCATCTGTATGTCTTCTTTGGAAAAATGTCTATTTAGATCCTCTGCCCATTTTTAATCAGATGATGATGATGTTGATGATTGCTGTTGAGTTGAGTTCTTTATGTATTTTGGATATTAAACCCTTATCAGATATATGATATGTAAATATTTTCTTCCATTCAGTAGGTTGCCTTTTTAGTTTGTTGATGGTTTCCTCTGCTGTGCAGATGCTTTTTAGTTTGATGTAGTCATACTTGTTTATTTTTGCTTTTGTTCCCTTTGCTTTTGGAGTTAGTTGCAAAAATTCAAGGCTTTATTCTTTATTACTTTAATATGCTTCTTTCCATTTTCCTTATTCTTTTATACTGAAACTCTAATATTAAAGATATGTTAGAACTAATAATTCTATTCTCTAGGCCTTTTAACTTCACTGTTCTCTTTTTTAAAATTTCTTTTGCTATCTTTGTTCATTCCAGGTAATTTTCACAGATTTATTTTCCAGGTAACTAACTTTCGCTTCAGCTGCTTCTAATTGCTTCTAATTGACCATAATTTTTAAAATTCAAACAACTGCATGTTTCAGTGTTTGAAAAACAGTACAATTGTGTTTCATTCCTTTTAAAATACACTTGTTCTTTACATGTCATACAATGTTTACTCTTTATATTTTAATCACTTTAAAGTTTTTCATTTTATTCAATCTCTATCATATTGGTTTATTTTCTGTAATTCTTAGAGTCTAATCCTACTGTTGATTGCATCTAACTATTTTTTGTTATTATTTCCTATTGTGTTTTGTTATTTTAGCTTCCTTATCTTCAGCGAGACTGTGAGTGTGTGTGTGTGTGTGTGTGTGTGTAGTTATCCTGAGCATGTATTTCTGTGGTATGGCTGGTTTTGTTTCTGTCATACATCCCAGAAGTAACAGTAGCCTGAGTGGGAATTCCCATGCCATGTCATTCACGTGAATTTAAATCCCAAAGTCATTTAAGTTGCAAGCTTATGATTAGAATTATTAAGATTAATTTTCTTTGTTATATTCTTGTGTTATTAGGTAATTTTTTTTCTAGATTACTTCTTCAATGACGATGTGGTATGCTCAGAGTCCAAGCTTAATATATCCCAACTCCATATTTGTCAGGATCCTAAGTTTTCTTCCTTTTCACCATGTGGCCACTCTATCTAAATGCCAAACTTATTATATT